AGCTTTGATTTGCATTTCCCTGATTGAAAGTGACCTTGAACATTTTTTCATATGCCTGTTGGCCATTTGTATTTCCTCTTTGGAGAAGTTTCTTTGTAGCTCTTCTGCCCATTTTTTGACTGGATTATTTTCTTTGTTTTTGTTTAGTCTCATCAGCTATTTGTAGATTTTTGTGATCAGTCCTTTATCATTAGTGTTATGTGCAAAAATTTCCTCCCATTTGGTGAGGTTTCTCTTTGTTTTGGCTATTGTCTCTTTTGCTGTGCAGAAGCTCTTTAATTTGATGTAGTCCCAGCTGTTTATCTTTGCCTTCACTATCACCGCTTTGGGTGATGTGTCTATAAATATATCTTTGAGGTGCATGTCATGTAGTGTTTCGCCTATATTTCCTTCTATATATTTCATGTTTTCAGGTCTTATGTCTAATTCTTTAATCCATTCTGAGTTGGTTTTTGTGAGGTAGTAGTCAAGTTTCATTCTTTTGTATGTAGCGACCCAGTTTTCCCAGCACCATTTATTGAACAAACTTTCTTTGCTCTAGTGCATATTCTTTGCTCCTTTGTCAAAGATTAGTTGACCATAGATCTGTGGGTTCATTTCTGGGTTTTCTATTTGGTTCCATTGGTCCGTGTGTCTGTTCTGGTTCCAAGACCATGCATGCAGTTTTGATTATTATGGCTTTGTAGTATAGTTTGAAATCTGGGAGAGTGATTTCTCCATTCCCTTCTTGTTTTTTCAGGAGTGTTTTGGCTATTTGGGGTTTTTGGTGGCTCCGTATGAATTCCATCAATATTTGTTCTATTTCTTTGAAGAATGACATTGAAATTTTAATTGGAGTTGCATTGAAACTGTATATTGCTTTTGGTAGGATGGCCATTTTGATAATGTTAATTCTACCAACCCATGAGCAGGGGATGTCTTTCCATTTCTTTGTGTCTACTTCTATTTCTTTAACAGTGTTTTGTAGTTTTCTTTGTATAGGTCCTTTACTTCTTTTGTTAGGTTTATTCCCAGGTATTTGATTTTTTTTTATTTCTATAATGAAAGGAATGGTTTTCTTGATTTCTTCTTCAGATTTATTGTTTGTGTATAGGAAGGCTATTGATATTTTGTGCATTGATTTTATATCCTGCCACTTTTCTAAACTGATTGATTAGTTTGATTAGTTTTTCTATGGAGTTTTTGGATTTCTCTATGTATAGTGTCATATAATCTGCAAATAGTGATAGTTTGACTTCTTCCTTGCCTATTTGGATTCCTTGTATGCATTTCTCATGTCTTATTGCTTACAGCCAATATCATTCTCAATGGTGAAAAGCTGAAAGCATTCCCATTAAGATCTGAAACAAGACAAGGATGTCCACTCTCACCACTACTTTTCCACGTAATACTGGAAATGCAAAGAATTTCTTTTAAATGTCTCTTGCAAGGCAGGTATGCTGGTGACATATTTTCTCAGTGTTTGTTTGATGGTTACATAATTGAGGCTAGTCTTTGTATTTAATTTCTTAAATATTTTGTTCCATATTTTATACTTGCATGTGCTTACAGAAGTATGATTATAATTTTTATCCTTGATCTTCATTCAGTAAAGTTTTTTTTTTGTTGTTGTTCTTCTGGCTTCTGTCAGGATTTTTTAATTGTATTTGATATTGTTTAGTTTGAATACTGTAAGCCTAAGTATAGATTACTTTTGTATGTATCTTGCTTGGTGTTTTCTGAGCTTCCTGACTCTGTGGTTTGGTGTTTATCATTATTTTTGGGATCTTTTGTCATTGTTGCTTCAGATATTTCCACTGTTCCTTTTTCTCCATGTCTGTATTTACATGACAAGTATGTTAAACCTTTTGTTTTTGACCCACAGCTTCTTGTATAATCTGTTCTTTTTCATTCATTTTTGTCTTTGTATTTCAGTTTTAGAAGTTTCTAAATATTTGTTTATTTATGCATACAAGAGCTGGGGTGCAGGCCAGAGGTGTGGGAAGATGAGAGTTTTCACTGGAGACAGAGTGGGGAGAACAGGCAGATCCTACTGAAATACACTGAAGAAGGGAGCAGCGGGCAAGATAGGAAAGGTCTGCCGTGCCATGTAGGTCACCTCCCTGGCTGGATAGAACTCTTGCTGTAGTAGCTGCTGATAGCTTCATATGACTTAACCCTTGCACCACCACAGAGGCCAACTTTTAGAAGTTTCTATTGACATTTCTTCCTAATCTATTATATTCTGAACTGTGTCCAGTCCACTGTTGTACACATTAAAGGCACTCTTCATTTGTATTATGGTATTTTGATTTTTAGAAATTCCTTTTGACTTTTTCATCTTAAAGCTCCTATCTCTCTGCTTACATTATCCATTTCCTCCCTTATGATGTCTGACTTATCCTTTACAGTCGTAAGCACACTAGTCCTAGTTCGTTTAAATTCCCAGTCTGATAATTCCAACACATTTGCCATATCTTATTTTGGTTTTGATGTTCACTATGTCTTGTCATATTGCATTTTTGTTTTTTACTGTGCCTTATAGTTTTTTGTTGCCCACCTGACTTTTTGTAATGGGTAGAAGGAACTGAGGTAAATAGAGCTTTGCTGGGAGTTTTTGTTTTGTTTTGTTTTGTTTTGGTTATCTGGTTAGGTTTTGCCTGTGCTTATTGTTTATTGTAAACATAGGTATCAGAAGCTAAATTTTCCTCTGGTGTCCTGCATATTTTTTCTTCTCTATTGTCCTTGGATTTCCCTAGACTTAACTGTTGTCTGAGAAACAGAGTTATTTTACATATTCTATTTTATTATCCAAGAGGCCTACTGATGTGTTGGCAAGGTTTGCCCTTGACCTGTGACCTTCACAAGTACTTCTGAATTTCTGAGGTTTTGTTTTCTCCCTTAAATTTGACAGGAAGGCCACATCTGAAGTTAGATATTTTGCTTTTCTTATGTGAAAATATCTCTAGTCAAACTCCAGTATATTAAGGTCCAATAAAATAGCATCTTTTGAGGATAGGCTTTGTTGAGAAGAATGTAATGCTCTGTGCATATATTTTTTTTTCTTTAAAGTGTTATATTTTATTTATTTATTTATTTATTTTAAATAATAAATTTTATTTTTATATTCCCCATACAATTGCAGCCCCCCCATTCTGACCCCAATCCCTCCCCTCCCGCCCCCCACCCCCAAAAAGTGTCTCTGGTTCATAGTTTTTTGTTGATTTTGATTTTCACTTTCTTATAGTTATTCATTTTCCTGGTCCCTTATTTAAGTTTTCTAGATTCCTGCTATGAGTGAGACCATCCGGTATTTTTCTTTTTCTTTTTGGCTTATTTCGCTGAGCATGATCCCTTCCAGCGCCATCCATGTTGCTGCAAATTGCATGTGTTTATCTTTTTTGAATGCTGAGTAATATTCCATGGTATATATGTACAACATCTTCTTGATCCAGTCATCTATTTTTGGGCATTTGGGCTGTTTCCAAAGCTTAGCTATTGTAAATAGTGCTGCTATAAACATAGGGGTGCAGGTGTTCTTTGGAATGGATGTTTCTGTGTCCTTTGGGTAAAGACCTAGGAGTGGAATTGCTGGATCATATGGAAGCTCTATGTTTAGTAGGTCCAGAAATCTCCACACAGCTCTCCATAGTGGTTGGACCAGTTTGCACTCCCACCAGCAGTGCAGAAGAGTTCCTTTTTCTCCACACCCTCACCAACATTTGTTGTTGCTAGTTTTTTAAATATGTGCCATTCTCACTGGTGTAAGATGGTATCTCATGGTAGTTTTGATTTGCATTTCCCTGATTACAAGTGATGTTGAACACTTTTTCATATGCCTGTTGGCCATTTGCATTTCCTCTTCTGCCCATTTTTTGACTGGGTTATTTTCTTTGTTGTTGCTGAGTTTCATCAGCTCTGTGCAGATTTTTGTGATCAGTCCTTTATCATTAGTGTTGTGTGCAAAAATGTTCTCCCAGTTGGTGGGGTTTCTCTTTGTTTTTGTTATTGTCTCTTTTGCTGTACAGAAGCTCTTTAATTTGATGTAGGCCCAGCTGTTTATCTTTGCCTTCTCTGTGCATATAATTTTAAAAAGACTGCTTTTCCTTCCCCCTCTCAGAAGCACAGAAACATGAAGGAATTTTTCTAAGATCTTCACTGTGAGAATTTGATAGAACTCTTGGAGGTAAAACTGGGAAAATTTTGCATTTCCCTTTAGGAATTTGCACCCTTAGACTTTTTAACTCTGAGATTTTTTTTTTTCACACTGACCCTCTTTGTAATTAGTAAATGACAGATTTTCCTACCCCCATTGCTGGTTCCCAATGAGTTTTCTTCTCATGGGCTTCTCCTGTAGTAAATTTTAATTCCCTGTGTCTACCTGTCTCTCTCTTCAATATTTGATATAGTAGTTTACCCTATGACCATAGTTTTCCAGTGTGTGTAAGAAGACTTGGTTTTCAGTTTGTCCTGCTTTTTTCTTTTCTTTTTTTATTTTTAATTGTGGTAATATTGGGATACGCCCATCAGGTATTGCCACCACAGAGCAACCACTACCAACTTACCCACAGTCTTCCACCATAAACCCTTGTGTTTCCTGCTTTCTTTGTTCTCACCCCTCTCCCACTATTCATCCTTCGTTTTTAAAAGATTTTATTCATTCATTCATTCATTTATACAAGCACTGGGTATAGTCAGAAGCGCGGGAGGGTGAGAGGATTCACCAGAGCCAGAGCGGGGAACAGAACAGGGAAACTGATGAAGAAATGCACTGCTGAGGGGAGCAGCGGGTGGCAGGAGAGGTCTGCGCGCCATGTGGGACCCTCCCGCAGTGGCTGGGGATCAAACCGGCTTTGCAGAAGCTGCAGGCAGCTTAACAACCCAGCGCTCAACCACTGCGCCACCGGGGAGGCCCAAAAACTGTCTTTTAATTAATGCAGTGTATTTTTCTTTTAAAGAGCTTAAAAGTAAGATCTTTTGAAAATTGACTTTTTTTTTTCCTATTTTCTTTTCTCAAATAGATCCTAAATGTCCAGGAGATGTTGATTTTTACAACAGTGACTGGGACATTAAGACAATCACTAGCTCCTTGAAATTTTACCTAAGGTAAGCCTGTTATGATTTGGGACTGCTTTTCTTAACCAACAAAATTTGTCTGTGTATAAAATAGAGTTAATATAATTCTAGTTTCATGAGGTGATACAATATTGCTAAAGAAAAAAAATAGTGAAAAGCAGTTCTGTTAAAGGATAATGCACATTTGAATACTTTTAAAAGATCTGGGGATTTAAGCAAGAAAAGCATCAAAATAATAGAATTATTGTTGAAAATTACTTAAAAATGCCCTTTAAATAATTGAAATTTTGTCATTGTCTTTGGCAAGATTGAGATAACACTAGTCTCTGTAGTAAAATTATAAGTTGTGACAGTTCAAGATTGTTCACAAGTTTTAGTATATAATAATTACTCTTAAACATTAACTTGTATTTTCCCAATATGTGTGTTTTTGTGTATGTGATGTGTTATATACCCTTAATCCATGTAATATAAATGAACATTAAGAAAACACAACCATTAAAATGTTGGAATTGAATGAATTGAAAGCAGTAGAAAAAAATTTATCCTACCTGAAAAATTTGGGAATGTACAATAATAATGAATATATTGTGAAGTTTATTGGATTAATTTTACATTGTGCAATAATATCTGTTATATATATATACACATATATATGTGTGTGTATATATATATATATATCTACAATTTCTACACATTTACCATCCTTTCTGTCTAGTAGTATGCAGCATAATTCACATGGTAAAAGGTCCTCTTTTCAATTATTCTACTCTTTAGCTATTAAGGTACTTAAATAGTTCAAAAGGACAGGGTTCCAAATACTGTTGTTAAATGATTTTCTGTTAAATAATTATCATCTTTGAGATTTATGTTAATATGAATGCTCTTTCTAGGAGTATTTTTCCTGAATCTGCAAAAGAGGAAAGGTATTATTGTTGGAGGGCTTGTTCTGTGCTATGAAGTGTTCTAGTTGCTTACATTGACAGTATCATTGTTTCTTTTCATAATTACCCTGTAAGGTAGATGGTACTGTACTGAGGAAATCGAAGCACAACAACTCTACCATTCAGTAGTATTTATGATCACAGCTCACATTGTCTGAACCTAAATATTTCTGACTTACAAGACCACCGGTATTGGAGCATCTTTACCCACTATCCCTCACCCCAAGGAGCTGTGGCTTTCTTGGAGTTGCTTTGGTAATTTAATATAGACAGCAATCTGCTATGTGTGCTTTCAGAAGACTTGCAATTGTACAGGTACTGAGAATAAATTATTCAATATCTGTAACAAAAGAATCATTTTCTTCAAAGTTTATATAGCTTAAGTTCCTCCCCACATTAAATCTTTCCCTTCTTATGCCATTATAAGCATCATGGCCCTTTTGAAAGAAGGAAAGATCAAGATTGAAGGGGTTAGTGTGCAGCACCCCCCAATGAGGTTTTTATCCTTAAGATTCCATGGACCTTGGGCCTCCCCTGGTGGCGCAGCGGTTGAACGCTGGGCTGCGAGGCTGCCCGCAGCCTCTGCAGCGCCGGTTCATTCCCAGGCCGCTGGAGAGGATCTCACCAAAAAAAAAAAAAAAAAAAAAAGATTCCATGGACCTTTAATATGCACCAGCTAATCAACACCCTTTAGATATCTCAAAGATATCAGTATTTTCAGAGTGGACCTCCTTCATCTGTGTTCTAGGTACATAACCCCTCATCTCCAACATTTCCTAAAGAGTTCTCTAAATATCATCCCTTGTGTTTCCTGTATCTTTCAACCTCTCTCATTCAACCCACTCTTTTCGCTCATCATTAATTTGCTCCAGCAATACACATCACTATAAACCTGTGTCTTTTATTCTACCATTCACTAAGTCATTCTAAAAACATTTCCTTTATGCCTACTCTATGCCTACCATGGTGATAGGCAGTAAACATATAGTTGAATAGATATGGTCTCTGACCTTCAAATGATAATAGTCTAGTAATGGGGAATAGACAAAAGACAAATGATCAAGCAAATATAACAAATTGTAATAAATGCTCTGAAGGAAAACTGTAGGTGCTATGAAGCAATAGAATATGAAAACCTGGATCTATTCTGCTTGTTTATGTGAAGTGAGGTTTGATTTATAATTTGGTGTCAGTTGGGAGGCATGTGGTTTCAGTTAGAGAGCACTTCACATGCAAAGACCTTGAAGCAAAAGGGAAGAAGATTCTCTTGACAAACTACATGGTCTAGTATAGGTGGAGTATCGATTGTAGAAAGAGAGGGAAAAATATGTAGGGGACAGCTCATGCAAGACCTTAAAGGACATTTTAAGAATTGGGACCCATATTTATCTTAAAATATAAATATATTGAAAGATTTAAATCAGGTTACATGATGCAATTGGCATTTTGGAGAGATAGGTTATGTGGAGACAAAATAGATAAGGGTGGAAATCAACTAGCGAGGTAATACTGTAGCCCTCTCATGAGATGATGCTTCTTCTGGGACTAGGGAGTAACAGTGTAAATCAGTAGAAATAAGAATATTCAAGAGATTTGGGAATGAACTTGATCGTGAAGATGGGGGAGATGAGAGAACAACTTCTAAGTTTCTGACTCAAACAACCAAATGTTAGTCATGCATTTAGTGCTTTAGGAAACACATGAGAAAGTTTAGATTTGATAAAGATGACAAGTTAGATTTTGGATATTTCAAATTTGATTATCTTTGAAGAAGTCAGGGCATGATGTTAAGTAGGCAGTTGTATATATAGGAATAAAAATCAGAGAAGAGGGCCTCCCTGGTGGTGCAAGGGGTTAAGCACAGTACTATGAAGCAATCCACAGCCTCTGCAGCACGAGTTCAATCCCCGGCCAGGGAGCAACCCACATGGCACAGCAGACCTCTATTGACTCTCCCGCTGCTTCCCTCAGCAGTGTACTTTGGTTATTCTGCCTGCTTTGTTCCCCACTCTGTCTCTGGTGAATCCTCTCACCCTTGCATCTCTAGTCTGTACCCCAGCTCTTGTATGCATAAATAAATAAATCTTTTTTTAAAAAAGCAGAGAAGCATTCTGGACTTGAGCTAAAATATTGGGAATAATTGACAATATAGGTAATTGGAGGCATAGTTTAGGCAAGCTTGTCTAATAAGAGAGATACACTTCTTATCTCTTCTTCCCAGTTGACTATTTAACCTGCTGTCATCTAACTGCTGTGGTGTCTGCATCACTGAAGCTGCTCTTGTCAAGGGCATCAGTGACTCCCTCAATATGAAACACAACAAATATCTGTAAGCTTTCACCTTCCTTTATCTCTGTATCATGTAAAACTGTTAACAAGCCCTCCTTGAAACACCCTCCTCACTTTTTTTAGATTGATTTATTTATTTATACAAGCACTGGGTACAGTCAGAAACGTGGAAGGGTGAGAGGATTCACCAGAGCCAGAGCGGGGAACAGAGCAGGCAGACTGACGAAATACACTGCTGAGGGGAGCAGCAGGCACAGCAGGAGAGGTCTGTAATGACATGTGGGACCCTCGCCTGTGGCCGGGGATCGAACCGGTGCTGCAGAGCCTATTGGCAGCTTCGCAGCCCAGCACTCAACCACTGTGCCACCAGGGGAGACCCTCCCTCCTCATTTTGTATTCCACTATTATCTCTTGCTTTGGATTTCTCTCACCACTTTGACCATTGTTAGCAATTCCCTTTATGACTTTCTACCTTATGTTTCCCAGAGCTCTTCCCTCATTTTATTGTATTGGAGGGATTAAAAATTCAAACATCCACAAGGGCTAGGATATACAAATGAGTGAAGTAGACTCATATTAAATATGATGTATATTGAGCTTAATTTACATAAAATTCCCTGTTTACATATAAACAGTAATATTTTTTTACTTCCATTAATAACCGTGTGTTTCCAAAGTAGCCAGATTGTTCAGTAGAAGTGGAAAATACAAATTTTTATTTGATATATGTCAATATTTCTATATTTTGAAAACTGATTCAATTCAATTTTTTTATATACTATTCTAGACAAGAAATTTTAGAAGACTTAGTGTAGCTATTATCTGCCAGTTTACCATCTCTCTTTGAACAGTGTTATCTATTATCATGGTTTTAACCAACCTTATAGGTTCATGATTTCCATATCTGCTTCTCAGCATTACAAGGGAACTCCATCAATTGCCCTAAAAAATGTCTTCCATTGATTCTCTATGAAGCCCCTCTGACTTTCCACTTCCCTTTGAATTAATTTTTATTCTATCCAGTCTACTCTTTCATCAACATACCAATCCTTGATGTTCTTTCTTTAATGACTTTCAAAGAGCTCTCCACACCTTGTTTTTCTATCCCTAATTCACTGTTTTTGTTTCAGCCTTTATTATCACTTGTCTGGATTTCAATAGTAGCACTTGGAAGCAGCTTGCATAGCACAGTGATTTAAGATCATGAATTTAAGGCATTGTGCCTAGTTCTGCCATGGATTATCTATGTGGTTTGAACAAATTATTTAAGTTCTCCGGACCCCAGCTTCCTTGTCTATAAAATGGAGATATTATCAGTATCTACCTAACAAGGTTGTCACAAGGATTAACTATGTAAATATATGTAAATTACTTAGAAAATTGAAGAGATGCTATTGATATAATTAATTTCTTTCTTTCTCTGAGTTATCCACTACCTACCTTTATTTTATTTTATTTTATTTTTTTACATCATTTTTGTACAATGTATGCATTTTCATTTTGGTTATATTCCCCATACAATTGCACCCCCCTTATTTTGACTCTAGTTCTTCCTCTCCTCTCCCCTCCCTTTACCCCCCCCCGTAGTGTGTCTCTGGTTTATAGTTGCTTGTTGATTTTGATTATCACTTTGTATTGATTAGTCTTTTTCCTGGTCTCTTAATTAGGTTTTCTAAATTCCTGCTATGAGTGAGACCATACGGTATTTTTCTTATTCTTTCTGACTTACTTCGCTGAGCATGATCCCTTCCAGCTCCATCCATGTTGCTGCAAACTGCATGTGTTTATCTTTTTTGATCACTGAGTAATATTCCATTGTGTATATCTACCACATCTTCTTGATCCAGTCATCAGAGCTGACTTTCTTGCCCCAAATATACCCTCTGCCCTTGCACAGTAATGGTATTCACAGTGAATATTTAAAACATAATTCTTTGGGACATTTCAAACATCCAGAAAAGTAGAAATATGCTGTATAATAGTATACTATACAGTCTCAGTCATGAGCTATGTTTAGTAATTGTTAACATTTAGCCATATTTTCTTCATCTAACCATCTATATTTATTTGACAAATCATTCTGAAGTAAATCACAGAGAAAATGAATTCTTTTTTTTTATAATAAATTTTATTTTTATATTCCCCATACAATTGCAACCCCCCCATTCTGACCCCAATCCCTCCCCTCCCACCCCCACCCCCAAAAAAGTGTCTCTGGTTCATAGTTTTTTGTTGATTTTGATTATCACTTTCTTATATTTATTCATTTTCCTGGTCCCTTATTTAAGTTTTCTAGATTCCTGCTATGAGTGAGACCATCCGGTATTTTTCTTTTTCTTTTTGATATAATTAATTTCTTTCTTTCTCTGAGTTATCCACTACCTACCTTTATTTTAATGTCATACTTTTTGCATTGAATTGCAAATTCTGTACATGGCAATTCAACTGGACTATTAGCTCAATGCAGTTTTAGACTATATCTTATTCATCTCTGGATCCCCAACACCTATGCTACTATTGTTTGACTAAGTAAAGATACCTATTTAAGACTCAGTTTCTTCCTCCATTAAATAGGACTTGAATAACTACTCCACTATTGGATTGTTGGGATAATGAAATAAGAGAACAGATGTGACAGTACTTTGGAAACTAGGGAATGATCAAATTGTGAAGACTTCCTAATAGTATTCAGGGAGGGTCCACTTTGGAAATTTGTAGGACTTTTGATAACTAATTGGAGACCTTTTTTAAGATCTCAGCCCTTACTTTTGCAAGTCTTCTGTTGAATTATTAGCAACTAGGATTCCTTTGACAAAGTTTCAAGTGGAGAGAAAAAAATATGTAGTCACTCTAAACTGTCAGGCTCAGAAATTTCAATATGACAGCCCACAGAACTGAGAACCTGAGGTCTGGCTACTTCCTCTCCAAAGGACTTACAGTGTTCATTAATTTCAGGAATCTTTCTGAACCTGTCATGACCTATAGACTTCACAAAGAGCTGGTCTCTGCTGCCAGTAAGTATTTATGTTACTAGTTAATTGTGTTGTTCTGGCTTCTTAATAATTTTTATAGCAATAATCCTAGAAAACTGCTTGAGGGAAAATCATTGAGTGAAAAAGAAAATCACATACATGAGAGTATTCTTGGTGGCTGTCTAATTCAGTATTATATTATTTTTCATAAATTAATGTTATTGGAATTTGATGAATAAAATAGACTAATTTGAGGAAAATTACATGTATGAGGACTTGATTGTGCCTCTTCCAACAGAGTACAAGTATACGCTCCCTTAATGAGGGGATAACAAAATGGTTCTATTACAGTTGCTGTTTCAGTTTTTTTTTTTTTTTTAGCACTTTGCCTTTTCAAATGCTTTTCCATTGTGTTCTGAGCAGTTACCCCCAATTTGTCACCAATATCATGATATTTTCTTGATGATAAAACTGAGGGTTAGGGAATAGAGCTGAATGGGAAATACGGCATCTTCAATGCCAAAGAAGCATTAAAATTTCAGTCTAAGATTACTAGATGAGTATCCCTACTTACCTCCACATTGCCAGGTTAGTGTACCCTGTATGGTGTGCAGGGGGGGCGATTCAGGGGACTTGTCCTCATAATGAATCTTCATTAAAGCAAGAGTTTTTTTTTATCTTTACTGTGAGTTCTCTCAGTGATTTTCATAGGATATTTCTCAGTACCACAAGTAAGGTGGGTGGGCAAGGGTTTCCATCTTAAAGATTCTATATGGAAATTTAGGAGCAACCTGCTGTATCCAGAATCCTGGCTTTCTGTGACCTTTGTGTGCACCTGTATTTGTAGCATTTGGAAGAAGCATTCCTGCATGAATGCCTTAAGACAATGGTCCACATCACTAGGCAAACCTGGGGACACCTTGGTAGCCATTGGCTGATTGTTTGACCGTGGTCTGAGGTGGTCTGGGAGTAGCTCAGAGATTACATCAAGTGCATATTGCTACTTGTACAGAAAGCCCTCCCAGTATATGTGGTCAACATGTTCCCTCCAGTTCCCATTAAAAAAGATTATTCATTGTCTCGCCTGGACCCTGCTCCTCCTGCTCTTGTTGCATAATCAATCACGCTTGCTTGATACTGCTAATAAATAACAAAAGTGCTACTCACTGAGCAGCATAGTCTTGCCTTGCAAACCTGCTCCAGGACTTGTTTCTCTCAGCATGTTCCTGGGGATGCAGGGTATGTTCCCAATACATCTTTCTCTATGACAGTCTTGCTTTCTCGTTTCATCTTTTTTGTTTGTTTGTTTTGTTTTGTCTCTTCTATTCCGTTCACCTTTCTAAGCCTGTTTCTTTGATTTTAATCTCTCCTTTTGCCTTTTGGTCTCTTTTTCTTTTTGCCACAGGGTCTTTGTTTCTTGCCCTCTCTTTGCCATTGTGTTTCTACGCCTATTTTTCTCTCTGTCTCTTTCCATCTCTCTGAGTCTCCTGTATGTCTCTCTCTCTTTCTGTGTGTGTTCATATGTGTGTGTATGTATGAAAATTTGCTTGACTTAGTTCCCAGAAGGCAAAACTCTCTCTCTCTCTCTCTGTTCTTTCTCAGAGTCTGACAATCTGGATTACCGACTGGGAGCTATTCACTCCCTGGTATATAAGCTACCAGAAAAGAACCGGGAGATGTTGGAACTTCTTATAAGACACTTGGTCAAGTAAGTAGCTGCTGGATTTTCAGGAAGAATTCTTATTAGAGGAGTGGCCTAACAGTAGGACTGCAGAGAAACTGCCTGTTAGTCATTAATTTCCAGTCCACAATTGCTTTATTCTGGGTAGACAGAGTGCTCTGTGAGAAGGGGATTTTGTCTTAATACTTGCATGTATCCTCTTAAACTCATCATGCATCTCAGTTAAAGGATTGTCTCAGTTGATGAGAATATAAAGTGGGATCAACACAGACTTTTCTGTCAAATAAACCTAGTTTTGAATTCCAGCTCTATCGCTTATTTATCTATATAATTTTGGAAAACCTCTCTTAGTCTCTGGTCATCTGTAAAATGAAAAGAGTATTGCCTACCATGCAGGACTGCTGTATAGATTTGGATGAACACAGGTAAAGTTCATGGTACATAGAAGATTCTCAAGAAATGGAAGTCATTGTTAAGATTATGGTCACTTTTTTACTTGGAAGTGTCATGCCGGGAAGGAATAGATAATGTAATTCCAGAAAGTAGGACTAGTAGGGGCACCCTGGTGGCACAAGGGGTTAAGCACAACACTGTGAAGTAATCTACAGCCTCTGTAACACAGTTTTGATCCCCCAGACGGCCAGGGAGCAACCCACATGGTGCAGCAGACCTCTCCTGACTCACCTACTGCTCCCCTCAACAGTGTATTTCAGTCAGTCAGGCTCTTCCGTTCCCCACTCTGTCTCTGGTGAATCCCCGCACCCCCACACCTCTGGCCTGTACCCCAGCTCTTATATGCATAAATAAATAAAACTTAAAAAAAAGTAGACCTAGTATTGGATTTCAAGATTGGAAGGTGTAAGGGGTGGGATACGTGTACCCCATTGTGGTGCTTCCTAGATAGAGGGTTCAGTGTTGTGAATAAGATGAATTTGCTTGACTCACAAAGACCAGTTACTGCTTGTTAGGAAGCAGTATGGGACAGCGGAAAGCACTGCTGAATGTTTCAGTTCTGCTGAATGTTTCAGTTCTGCTTCTACCTTTCCTTATGATCATGGGCAGATCACTCTTAAGGTCACTTCTAGTATGCTATAAAGAAATAAGACAATAAAAATTGTGATATGTTTTAGGTATTTATGCTTAACAAAACAAAGCTAGAAGCACACACAAAAATATAGTTATGGTATATTTTAACCCCAGTTGGATAGGCTCTCAAATACCTAAAATTGAGGCCCTTAGTGAAGATGGATCTCTAGTCTAAATAGATTCTTCACCTGACATCCCACCCCACCCCCACCTACCTTGATAAATCCTGACAGCTGTATCTCTGGACCTCTGGTTCCTCTGTGATAGTTTAATGATATATCTCCAAGATCTGATTCAGCTATGATGTTCTAAATTTATTGGTTTCCTTTTTGCACTTATATGGCAAATGAGTATTGTGTGTTGATAAACAGGAAGGATTAGCAAGATGATGGCTTTTATATTTATTGCTGATGTTTGAAGTTTGGGTTGATCCAGAACATTGAGGTATTTTCTTTCCACAATATTGTTTATGGTAATCTCAGTAAAAGTACAAAACATAGACATATAAACAATTTGCATGTTAATTCGATGTTGCCCTGGGGAAAGAGACTTTAGTTTCAATTTCCAGCTCTATCCTTAATTTGCTATGTGAACTAAAGAAATTCCCTCCCAGTCTCTGAGGCTTCAGCTTGTTCATCTATAATATAAAGGGACTGGACTACTAAATCTCAAAGGGCTTTTCTATATATGATTTTCTAACATTCTCAGTATGTCATGTTAGTCAAGGAGTCAGTTGAGGATCTTCCTGCTAACAGTAAGAGGTGCCTCCATTTACACAAAGACTGGCTACCTGCTATTTTTTAAGAATCTTGGTTCTCAAAATCCCTAATGGAAAAAAAGAGCAAGAAATAAATAAACAAAACATAAATAGAAAGATGAATATTCTTATATATAATCATTTTTTATAATAAGGAAAATGCAAATTAAACCTAAAATGAGATACCATTTATTAGAAAATTGTAAGTCTTGACTTCTCTGTTAATGAGACTCTGGGGTAACAGGTACTCTAATAAATGGCTGCTGTTATTAATGCAGTACAGGGGAGGGGGATTTGCTAATATTAAAAACTTATTTTCAATTGCACTTTGATCCAGCAGTTCCACTTTTAGCCTCTTCTCTGAAGGCACACTTCCACAAATACAAAGTAACATATGCACAGATTTTGTCACTATAATATACTTTTTATCACCAAAATATTAGGAACAATGCAAATACCCAAATATAGGAGACTGTATACCCAAATATAGGTGAATAAATAATGGTATATTCAAACAGCATAGTATTTATTTATTTATTTATTTATTTATTGTATAGAAGAACTGGGGTATAGGCCAGAGGTATAGAGGATGAGAAGACTCACCAGAGACAGAGTGGGGATCAGAACAGGCAGACTGACTGAAATTCACTGTTAAGGGGAGCAGTGAGTGAGACAGGAGAGGTTTGCTGTGCCATGTGGGTTAGCTCCCTGGCTGGAAATCAAACTCAGGCTTTACCTGTGAGAGCACTGAGACTTAACCCCTAGGCCATCAGGAAGGCCTTCCCAAAAGTGTAATGTTTTACAATCAGAAAAAAAAATACACTAGTTATTTCAACTAGTGTATCAACAGTTAATGAATTACAGTCTAAAAACAAGGAGAGCTATAAAAAAGTCATAAGGATCACCCAGTAGGTTTATTATTTGCAGTAATATTGAAACTATAATTTGAAACTACTACATATATCTGATAATAACAAAGCAAAAACTAAATATATTAATGTTATCAGAAGCCAAGTTTTGTGGTTTAAGAAAAAGAGTTACAGACATAAAATTCAAGAAATAAAGAAAAATGTTCCATCATGGTAAAGGTGAATGAGAATGCCAACATCAACTCATGATTTTATAAGAAAACAACAAAGGCCCAAAGTGGTGAAATAGGAAGAACTTGTGCTTACTTCTTCTCACAACAAATCAACACCTAATTGTGACCTAATCTGCACAGAAGCAGATCTAAATCCCAGAAAAATAGAGATTGCATAATAAAAGTTAAAGAGGCAGCACTCAGGTTAGGAGAGACAAATTTTCTTGTCAAGGAAGAAATACCATCATGGAGGCAAAGAGGCACAAACAAGAAGACATCTCTATGATGCAGAATTTTTCCCTGGGGAGTAGAGTGAGGGATATGCCTGACACCTGGCACCCCAAATCTATAATCCATCACAATGGAGATGAGCTCCTTGAACACCTGCATTGATTATCAGAGAAAAGTGGACACCAAAAAGCAAAAGAAAAAGTAGAAAATAAGAATTAGTCCTTAATGGACCCATGAGGAAACTCACTTCCCTTGGTACCCAAAGCAGTAACACCCATCAGAATTTGGTCTGACCCATGGGTAGAGGATTCCCAGATACCATCCTTACAGCACTGATCTGAGAAGCATGGAATACTAGGAAATAATGTGAGATTGGAATTACTGATATATGCCATCTTGGAAACCTCTCTTATCCTTGCTGATAAAAGCCTGGGTGGGCACTATCTTGGAACCCACGATTTATACTACTATGTCTCCACCCACTCTTGGTAAGTAGCCAAGCTACTTGGGGCCAAGGACAACAAACAAGAGGATCAACCCCTGCAGACAAAGAGGCCACACTTCTGCTAGCTACCACTGCTTGCTAGCAAGCAAACTGTACACCTACAGCCAGCAAGCACCCCGATACACCTGCAGCCAGCAAGCACTCCAAGGGCCTCCCAAAGCATAGTTGGCTAGCAAGCAGACCCCACGATTGCACCCCCCCTGACTATATAAGGCCTGCCGGAGCCCACCTCCCGCCAACCTATGCTTTTGTTCCACCTGCCTGCAAAGCCTGGGCACCTTTGCACCCCAAAGTGAAAGTGGTGATATACCCTGATCCACCTGTGCCTCAACTTGGTGGTGGCCCTGCCTTTGTATTCACAATTTCCACTGTGCCCACAAAGCTTATGACATTGGTAAAGCTGATAGTGAAGCCCCAGACATGTCCTCAGGAAGGCCTCAGATGAGCAACCACAGATACACACAAGGCTCCTGCAACCCAATGGAGACATGTGCAATAGTTACAATCACCCCAGTCCAGCTACCCCAGTGCACCTCCAGTAGCCTCAGTAGCAGCTGAAGACTACCATGCCTTCAGCAACTAGCTTCCCTGCTGCCATTTTGAGCCGCTGTTGGTACTGTGCATTTTTACTGATTAAGCCAAAGTTGCTAATGTAGGCAACCTGGAAATACTAGCACCCCATCCCACAACCCATCTCTTCCAGGCCATATATAAATATTGCTGAACTCACAGGACCATCCACAGAGTACAACTTGCTTCAAGTCATAGGTCAAACCCAGTAGAAGCACCATTGGCTGGCAAGATTGATAGCTCTACCCACAGGACTGCCCTGATACAATAGGCTAGTGTATGTAGCCTACAATGGGGCACACCTCAAGCACTAACTTGGTAAAGTAGGGGACAGTGCTGTAGGACTCCATGTGACATCCCCTTCATAAGACCAAACCATCAATATTAGAACATGATGTAGAATGACTAAATTATAGATGTAAACATAGAACCAGGCAAAATAAGGAAACAAAAGAATAAGTCCAAATATAAGAGTATAAGTCCTGATGAAAAGGGATTTAAAAAACTATCTGAGGAAGAATTCAAAATAATAGTCATAGGGCCTCCCTGGTGGTGCAAGGAGTTAAACACAGCACTATGAAGAAATCTGCAGCTGGTGTAGCACAATTTCAATCCCCACCAGCCAGGGAGGTGAACCACATGGCACAGCAGACCTCTCCTGTCCAATCTGCTGCTCCCCTCAGCAAGTGTAATTCAGTAGATCTGCCTGTTCTGCTCCCCACTCAGTCTCTGGTGAATCCTCTCACCCCTCAAACCTCTGGCCTGTACCCAAGCTCTTGTATATATAAATAAATGAA